TGGTTATTTCTGCATTTCTTTTCCGCTGTATATAATATATATATATATATATATATATATATATATATTTGAACTGCACAGGTTTATTTGGTAGTCTGGACCTAGCCTCATCACTACTTTGCCGGGGTTAGGCTGGACACTTACCAGCACATGATGTCGGTTGTGCTGATACTACACTCTGCACTATGTGCAGATCCCGGAGCAGCTTTTGGACAGTAGCTTGGAGGCTTCCTTCAGTCCATCCGGAGACCCAGTAGACCTGCAGGCGTCCGCAGGCCCTGGCGTCTCCCTCTGTCCCTATTTCCTATTTCATTTTCCTTTTATTCAAAAACAGTGTACTGTTATTTCTTCACACTTTGTATGTAGTAATCTTAGACAGTCTGTGACACTGTGACACTAGGTTTTGGGTGGTTAAGGCTTAAGTATTTGTAATAGATGCAGTTTCCATATATCTAATTGTTGTCTTCCGCTTAAATTTGAATTTCTGTTGTTACCACGTTATCGTCTTATATTTGTTAAAAAGAAATAATTGGTTAATGAAGTAATTAGATTAAAGGTTTGGCTTACCTAGCTCACATTAGTAGGCGTCATCACTACTCCCGAGGGTGGAAAATCCGAGTCGTGACAATTATAAAATTATATTTATAACATTAAAATAACTGTTTATCTATTATAAGAGTAAGATAACTGAATTTTGCTCACTATAACGATAAAATTTATTTGAGTCATATAGTAAAACTAGAGCCCGTTTAGACATAAGAAATTTTTTCTTTTTTCCAAAAAAATTTTACTTTTTTTCGAAATCGGCGTTTGTTCATAAAATTTCCAATTTTCACTTGAAAATATATTTTGAAAATTTTCGGAAATTTGAAAAACTCCAAAAAAACTATTATTTAAAATTTTCACTCAAATCACTCACAAAACTTCAAAAACAATCCAAAATTATATTTATGTCCAAACACAACTCTAAATTTCAAATACCATTTTCACTTTAAATTTTTTTTACTTTTTTTTGGAATTTTACAATTCTTATGTCCAAAAGGCCACTAAGATAATGCAAGCATTTCTTGGTAGGATAAATTATTCTCCTCCTTCCATGTGTATTATCAGTAGATTTGCAGTTGCTAATTAGTTAGGTAAACTTCTATGGTGTAACTAAACTAACAATAATTACCAACAATTATAGTTTGTTAAATTTCTCCAAAAAATACTATGAGCCTCCTTTACTCACAAAGTTATCTCTAAACAACATTTACCATTCAAAGTGTTGACTAATCTAAGCCATCCAAAGAATTCTTAAGCACATATTTGACAACTTAATTAATACGATAATAACAACAACAAACTTAGTGTACTTCTACAAGTAGAGAGTGTGTATGCAGCCTTAACCCAACATTGCAAAATAGAAAGGTTGTTTCCGATAAATCTTTGGCTCAGAAAAAGCATAGTCGCAGCCAATTAATTATGGACTAATAAACTTATATACATCAACTCTCAAAGAATTTATATATTCGTATATTTTAATATGTTGTAATCAGGGGCGAAGCTACATGTTTTAAAGGGTGGTTAATTGACCATTCTTTATCGAAAAATTATGCAGTGTAAATAGGTAAAATATTAAATTTTACAGGTATAGAACATATATTGAATATCCTTTTTCGAGGAATTTTTTTATTTCTTTCAAGTTTGAACACCTTTGGAAAAATTTCTAACTTCGCCATAGGTTGTAACATATAGTAACATACTTATTATATGTCAGCAATTTTATTTTTTACGGACAATTATCTAAGTTATTTTTTAACGACTTGATAGAGTGAATTTTTTTTATCGTCAGTGTATATAAGTTAAACTCGTTGACTATATCTTATCAAAAACCGACTCAAAGTCATAAAATAAAAATTAAAAATATATATATATTTCTCGACAACTCTAAGTCATTTTGATTGTGAAACACTTTGTAACCAATCACCATCACTTTACTTCATTCACTAATTTTTTTCAAACTTATATTTTCTTTCTTTCCTTCTCCTAAATTAACTCTCTTTCTCTTTTCATATTGTGTGTTTATTTCTTCATCATCTTCATTTCTTTAGCCTCTTTTAGTCCCCCTTTTACACAATGGGGAACTGTTGTTCAAGGGGCCAACCTGATAATAATGAACATACAAATAATAATAATGATCAAACTAGACAAAAATCCAATACCAAAAATGATCAATCAATTTCAAATAATTCTCAACAACAAAATCATGGTTCAATTACACCACCAAAATCACCTGATCCTTCTTCAAAACCATCAAAAAGTTCCCCTATTGGTCCAGTTTTAGGCAGACCAATGGAAGATGTTAGAAAAACATATTCTATAGGTAAAGAATTAGGGAGGGGTCAATTTGGTGTTACACATTTATGTACACATAAACAAAGTGGTGAACAATTTGCATGTAAAACTATAGCAAAAAGGAAATTGGTTAATAAAGAAGATATTGAAGATGTGAAGAGAGAAGTACAAATTATGCATCATCTAACAGGCCAACAAAATATTGTTGAATTAAAAGGGGCCTATGAAGATAAACATTCAGTGCATTTGGTTATGGAATTATGTGCTGGTGGTGAATTATTTGATAGAATTATTGCTAAAGGACATTATACTGAAAGGGCAGCTGCAACTTTGTTAAGAACAATTGTGCAAATTGTACATACTTGTCATTCTATGGGTGTTATTCATAGAGATCTTAAGCCCGAGAATTTCCTCCTACTTAATAAAGATGAAGATTCACCTCTCAAAGCTACAGATTTTGGTCTTTCTGTATTCTACAAACAAGGTAAAAAATTTATTCGCACTCAATGTTTATACCTTTTATTGTGTTTCATCGATTTTCTGGTTCTTATGATGTTGTTATTATTTCTATGATTTTTATTGCTGGTATTGTCTCTTTTCGTCTCTTTGAATCGAGAGTCATCGGAAACTGAACGTAAGATAGAATTATATAAATACTGATGTATTCTCACTTTAGAAGGGAGCCTTAGAGCAACGGTAAAGTTGTATCCGTGTGATTTATTCGCACTCAATGTTTATACCTTTTATTGCTTTTCATCTATTTTCTGGTTCTTATGATGTTGTTACTATTTCTATTGTTTCTGTTGTTGGTACTGATATATTGTCTCTTTTCCTCTTTTTGAGCCGAGGGTTTATCGGAAACAATCTCCCTACTACCTCGGAGTAGGGATAAGGTCTGCATACACACTACCTTCCCCATACCCTACTTGTGGGATTTTACTGGGTTGTTGTTGTTGTTGTTTACTCAATGTTTACACCAAGTAATTGAACATAAGATATAATTATATAAATACTGATGTATTCTCACTTGAGAAGGGGAGCCTTGGAGCAATGGAAAAGTTGTCTCCGTGTGACTTATAGGTCACGGGTTTGAGCCATATAATCGGCCATTGATGTTGGTATTAGAGTAGGCTGTCTACATCACACTCCCTTGGGTGCGGCCCTTCTCCGGACCCTGCGTGAATACGGGATGTTTCGTCCAGGCTGCCCTTTCTTTTCTCAATTTAATTTGTGACTCTTATGGTTATATTGTTCGATGTTGTATAAACACGGAGTGCAGATAAGTACTAAGGGTGTTATGATATAATTAGCTTGATTCTTGGAATTATATTTTGTTAGCATGATTCATTGATTATATTTTGTTTGTATGATTCTTGGAATATAGTTAGCTAGAATGATTAATTCTTGGCATTTTTTATGTAATTTTAATATTTCTCTTAAAATTTTGTATTGTGCAGGAGATGTGTTTAAGGACATTGTGGGTAGTGCATATTACATTGCTCCTGAAGTCTTGAAAAGAAGATATGGTCCAGAAGTTGATATATGGAGTGTGGGAGTTATGTTATATATTCTTCTTTCTGGTGTTCCTCCTTTCTGGGCAGGTATATCACCCAAACAAACCTTAGAATATTCTTTAAGTTAGAAAATAAGAGGCAAAATGAACACATATGTTTTTAGTATTTGATTTGTGGGTCGTCGTCGTTGAGCCGAGGGTCTATCGGAAACAGTTCTCTACCTTCACAAGGTAGGATAAGGTTTGCGTACACAATACTCTCCCCAAAATTCACTTGTGGGATTACACTGAGTATGTTGTTATTGATTTGTGGGTCATCGGCTCACATGAAATATACTATCATGTGGAAGAGAATAGGTATTGAAAGTAAAAGGAGATATCAAGTCGCTTAAAGTAAGTAAATAATAAAATCTCCTCCCTACCCTTGGTAATTATACCTCAGTACCGGATTCAGGATTTAGATTACTCATATATATATAAGTTCAAATCGAAAGTCGTGTGTTATGTTGAACTCGTAAAATATTAGTATATTTTTACCAACAAGGGTTGTGGTGAAGTGAAAAATACTCCTTCATTCTTAACTAGCGGTCTCAAAATCAAGCCCTATGTATGTACTCGCCTTTGTTAGGAGCACTTTACTCCCTAATGTGGGACTTTCCAGTGCGAATCCGGATTTAGCCGGTCCTCAATGCAGGTACCGGGCACCGGGTAGGAACCCAAAAAAGGAAAATATTAGTATATATTTGTGGAAATGAACTTCATGGACTACGAAAATCCTAGTAATGGTATGTAGAGAAAGAATAGTTTATGTTACTTTAGAGTGAGATTAATTAGAGATTAATGAATGATTATTGTTAATTTATTTTCAGAAACTGAACATGGAATATTCAATGCAATATTGAGAGGACATATTGATTTTTCAAGTGATCCATGGCCTGCAATTTCCCATGGTGCCAAAGACATTGTCAAGAAGATGTTGACCATAGACCCCAAGCAGAGGTTGACAGCAGTCCAAGTCCTAAGTAAGTGTCTTCAATAGAATCTATCTGCGAATATTCGAAAGGACTCCTCAAAAATGTTGTCAGGTGCGTGATCCTTCAAAAGTAGTGCATTTTTTAAGGATCCCGACACATGCGACAGCAGTTTTGGAGAGTCCGAGCAACATAGTTTATATGATATCTAACGAACTTTCTATATGAAGATCATCCATGGATCAAGGAAGACGGAGAAGCACCAGATACACCACTTGATAATGCTGTTTTGAGTAGGCTCAAACAATTCAGAGCTATGAACAACTTCAAGAAAGTTGCTCTCCGGGTAATATATTCGCTCGAATCCTCAAGAAATGTTGCTGCATCCATGTCGGATTTTCAAAAAAATGCATTACTTCTAGATGATCCGACACAGATGTGACGGCATTTTTGGAGAATCTGAGTAACATAAGTTTCGACGTCAAGTACGTTTTAAGAATTAATTATCAATGTACCAAAATATTCACTTGGAGGAATATATTACAGGTAATTGCAGGGTGTCTATCAGAGGAAGAAATTATGGGATTGAAGCAAATGTTCAAAAGCATGGATACTGATAACAGTGGAGCAATAACACTTGAAGAGCTAAAACAAGGACTTGCTAAACAAGGCACAAAATTATCTGATTATGAGATTCAACAGTTAATGGAAGCTGTAAGTTCTCTAATTACTTCTTATTGCCAATGCCAAATTATTTGTTAATTCCTAATTAAGTTGTTAGTAATATCCATTGCACTTAGGAGAGTGTCCACCTTAGGTCAAAACAAGTGGTCGAGCTTATGTCATAATTTATGGCAATGGGGACCTAAAAAACATCTTGAGTCGGGGTCTATCGGAAACAGTCTCTACAATAACAACAACCCAATATAATCCCTCAAGTGGGGTCTGGGGAGGGTAATGTGTATGCAGACCTTACCCCTACCTTGTGAAGGTAGAGAGACTATTTCAGATAACCCCCCTCTCCCCGACTCTCTATCCCAAAAAGGTAAGGGTAAGGTCTGCGTACACCTCACCCTCCAGTAATCTTTCTGCAATAAAGATTGTTGGAAATGTTGCAACTTGCAAGTTTCTTATTCGTCAAGCCAGGGGCGAAGCTAGGTGGCGGGATGGGGGGTCATCCGAAATCCCCTTTGCTGAAATTTAGACTATATATTAAATTTTTTTATGTATATATATTAGGTGTTGAATCCTCTTAGCTTCTTTGTCAGTACTTTTTCTATTTTTTATGTTTCCTTGATGAAAATCCTGCTTCCACACTACGTCAAGCTAATGTTAATTTTCTTTGAATATATTGAATTAGGCTGATGCTGATGGAAATGGAACCATAGATTATGAAGAGTTTATTACAGCAACAATGCACATGAACAGAATGGACAAAGAAGAACATCTTTACACTGCATTTCAATATTTTGACAAGGATAATAGCGGGTAAGTCCCGTTCGAGAATTTAACTTATATATATACTGACCGCGTAAAAGAATCAGTTACCTCTGTAATATTTGCAACCAACTTTCTCCTAGAATATAACTAATTTATTTTCTTTTAATTTTGCCAGGTTCATTACAGTAGAAGAGTTAGAACAAGCTTTAAGAGAATTTGGAATGACTGATGGAAAGGATATAAAGGAAATTGTTGCTGAAGTTGACTCTAATAATGTAAGCTTAAAACATGCATATATGTTTTATGAAATCAGTAGAAATATTTGGTATGACGGAAATTATTTTCCAAAATTTTTCTTTAAAAAGGATTTCGGGGCAATAAGTCATTTTCTGATGTTTGGTTATCAAAAAATATTTTCTAGGAAAACCATTTTCCACATGAGAAATGAATTTCCAAAATTTCGGGCTAAAGTCATTTTCGTTCACAACCATCTCATCAAGAAACTTCATGTCATTGCTTCAACCAATAGTTACACATTTGACATTATTATCAATATATAATATATGCAAAAAAAATTATCAAAATACTATACGATTTGCTGACATTATTATTAATGTTATTTTTTTTGAAGTATTTTTCACTCTCCAACTAAACAACCCCGAAATATAACTACTCTAAAAATAAACCATTCTTTAGAAAACATTTTTCAAAAGATATTTTTCCCTTCATACCAAACATTAAATTTTCAGATATTTTGTAATTTATGAATAAATACCATTATTTATTTTTGCAGGATGGTCGAATTAACTATGAAGAATTTGTAGCTATGATGAGAAAAGGAACTCCAGAAACTGCAGCAAATCTAAAGAAAAGAAGGGAGTCATTTGTTGCATAAATTTTCATTGTTAATATAAAAAGAATTCAAAATTAAAGAAAAAAATGCATCAAAGTCATTGGTATTTTTCTTGGAGGGAAGACCAATGGCTTATTTTGTAAAGTTTTAAGAGTCATTCATGAAATTTACAAAAGTTCATGGATGATTATGTAAATTAAATAACAATCATTTTTCCTAAAAGCAAATTTGAAAAAATGGGTTTGTAGAATTCATGAGTTTTTTTTGGGATTTTGTTAAGAGTGGAAGATATTCTTTGTATTATCTATGTATATATAAGATAAATCCTTTTGTTAATAGTTTACTTTTGTTGCCAAAAATTGTTGTCTGGTTGATGCTTGATTATTATTTAGAGACAATGGATTTCTTATCAGTATTGCTATATAGTTTGTACAGTATTAGAAATAGATACTAATTGTTGCATTTGTAATCAACTACCTCCAAAAACTTTTGCCAGAGGGCAACCGAGGCATCCTGTATTCAAGCAAGGTCCGCGAAAGAGTCACACCCTAAAGGATGTGATACAGACATGCGAATGGGTGTAAGCCCCAGTGCTGACCACACTGAGAGACACGAAAGACATGCGAATGGGTGTAAGCCTCGCTGCTCGAAAACACCCAATGTAGTCTGCTGACCATATTAAGAGACACGAAAGTGCAGGTAATGCCAGTTGGTGAAGTGTCGTTAAGCATCTCTAGCGGTACAAAAAGAGGGGTCTTGATGATATCATCTACGCCCGTACCGCTCTTCATGGAGTAGATCCCGCATCCAACTAAGTCTAATGTAAATATTAGTGATTGTTTTCACGGCTCGAACTCGTGACCTTTAAGTCATACGAAGATAAATTTACCATTGCTCTAAGGTCTCAACCAAGAGGAGTCAAAACATGATAATATTATGATGGTGAGGGATATGTAGTCTCAAAGTATTATTAGTGATTGAGAGGGAGATTAAAAATAATATAGTTGTATTAATCAAGATTATTGAATTAGTATGATCTATTCATCAAGTGAATTGTACTTGTAAGCTATGACTTACACTTCCATGCAAAACAAACGAAAGAAAATGGCTATAACTTGAACTGCTCCCCTCATTAACAAGCTCCCAACCCTAGGAGGGAAAATGAAAAGCTTAGGGTTATTTGGAAAAAAGCTAGTTAAAAAATCAGACCTTAAGCCCGACTCAATCCCATGAGACGACTCCTGATATGAGAATGGCCTACGACCATATAAGAAAACACGAGCTCATTCTCTCAGCTAATGTGGAATAATGGACACTGATATGAGAAAGGCCTAAGACCATATAAGAAAACACAGCTCATTCTCTCAACTAATGTGGAATAATCCGACACCCCAGATGCACCGGATTGGGTAGCGGACAACATAAGATGGAGGCCGAACATTGAATAAACTAAGAATACTGATAGATCCGACGCTGATACCAACTAGGTATCAACTCAAAACTACCATGCATAACTCAACTCTTATACATGTAAAGAAAATGGACTTTACGCCTAACTCAACCACAAAGGTTAACTCTTGAAGTGGGAAAACTCCAGATAACATAAGGAGAAGGAGACAATAATTGATTCCCTTAACCTATATGAGACAATATAACAAAATTTGAAAATAGGAGAACTTATATTCCAACAAAATATGAATGAGCTACTAGCTGTATAAATAATTTGCCACAAGCCTTCAAACTTGATTCTTGAAATAAGATACAAACATTACAAACAATATTCTGCAAGTTAGACCAGTAACAAATACTTAAAATAAGTACTGCAAGATAAATTACCACCACAAACAAAGGATATTGACCCCCCCAACTCCAAGAGAAGAAAGAAAAAGGAAGGATTTTCAAGAAAAAGATAACATGAGACTAAGAGAGAATCAAAACATCTTAGCTGAGCAGCCAGCACTGTACATAAATTACAGCACATCAAGTTTCTCCAGCTTTCCTTTTCCACAGATCTTGGATCCTTTAGGAACCAACGGTGTTGGATTATTTCCAGAGAATATTGTTATTGGAAAAGGCCAATCCATTCTCACAAAAGCTGTGACCAAAACCAACCCCATCCAATTATATGTTGCCAAAGAATGCTCTAAAGTAAACCAAACCTACTTAATCATCGAATGCACAAGGCGACAGAGTGAACAGCCTCTGCTCGAAAAACAAGACACTTTTGTGATCTATGTCCAAACCCCTGGAACGGAGCAATAAAGTAAAGATCACACTGGTCCAGCTCGCCACAGTCAGGAGGTTGTGTTCTTCTTTTCTTCAAGAACAGAACCCTCTTTAAGTGCAATTTGTGCCTCATTTTCCCTTCCCATCGCAAAAAGAGAAGCAGCTTGTAAATATGATGCAATATGCCAAACAGGAGATATTACTTGTGCTTGTACTGCATCATTAAGGGCTTCCTGCGGCATATCACTCATGAGATAAGACAGACTACGTCGAGCATATACAGTTGGGGAGACCATTGTTCCAACATCGATGAACTGCAAAACCAAGCAACATACTAAATGAATAATGTACTTCATAAATAGATTAAATCCACCACCACTTTCCCTGTAAACATTAATCGGCACTACAATAATCAGTCCTAAGAGTTCAGTAACGATCTCAAGAATATGATATCATTATAATCAGTCCTAAGAGTTCAGTAGCAATCTCAAGAATATGTTACCATAACCATTTTGGTGCACTATTATTTACCCCGTTACCCGAGTGTATAAAGCCTTAGTCTACAAGCTATATCTCCCCTAAGAAAGCACAGTTGTAAAGAATGAATCAGAACCTCAACGCAATATAGGTATCATATTCTAACTTTAGTGAAATGATTAAAAGTATTAAAACCAATCGAGAATATAATTTCCAACCTGTGTATAGCATTCGACGGCAGCCTTAGCATCTTTGTGCCTGAAAGCAGCATCACCCTTTTTCTTGGAGTTCAATGTTTCCTGCATCTGATTTGTCCACATTTGGAATGAAAGCTGCAACCAACATTGAAAAGTGAGGCTATCACGAGACTTTGATAATTGGCTTCCGAAGGTGTATGGATATCATGAGACTTTGATCATTGGCTTCCGAAGGTGTATAGTAATTTGGATTTGATAACCATATGAACAAGCAATAAGTTACAAAATGAAACTGCTAAGGAGCTGACTGATACTTCAAATTGTCTCACGTGTTGGAGAACTGAGAACAATCATTCTACTTGCATTGGAAACTTACGCCAAAAAGATTGATAAAAGATAAAAGACTGATAACATGCATGTACCTCAGTCGCTGCTCCCTCATCATCTTTGTACCCAAGCTTTTCTAAAATCTCATGGATGGCAGTTAGATCCATTCTCAAGCAAGCTTCACCAAGTGGAGACAGAGCCATAGTTTCACTATTGCGTGATATACCCATTAACACATGAGAAGGAACCTGCAGAACAAGCTTAAAAAGTTTATTTCAGCTAAGTTCTATCATTAATGTGATTTTTGGCATTTTACAGTCGGCAAAATGTAGAAAATTAATATTAAGGAAAATAATGTAAAAAAAGTTTCTCACCTTATCCAAATTACTGTTTTTACTAATTTTAAGAAACTACTGTCATGGAACTACTCTTTTGACATTACTAGTGCCATGGAACTACTTACACTCCATTTGATTTTATTCGATTAAGACGTCTCAATCTCAACATTGAATACTTAAGATTTTGTGCTTACAGCATCCAGACCCCACTTGTGGGATTATACTGGGTTTGTTGTTGTTATTGACCTAATAAATAGAGAGTTTATATACAATGTTTCTTTGATGAAGCGCACTCTAAAAGCTAGCTGCAGCGGGCGGTGGTCGGGGTTGTGCGGAGGTTGAGATGGTGGTTGTGCAGTGGTGGCTGATGGTGGTGGCTGATGGCGGAGGTGATGGTTGTGCAGTAAAAGTTGGTGGTACAGGTGTTTGGTGACTAGAGGTAAAGGTGATTGGCGGTGGTACATGCGCAGTGGAGACTGATGGTAGAGACAATTGGAGGCGGTGAGTAGTGGTGAAGGTGGTTGGTGCCTGGTAGTGATTATGAGGTGGTTGAATGACTCAAATTCAGAACCTCCCCCAACACACCAAACCCCACCCCACCCAAACAAAAGAAAGAAAAGTACATAGGCAGAAAAACACATACTCCAACTCAGTATAAACCTTAAAGACACTAATGGATAATCAGGACAAGAAAGTACAAGACCTCGGTTTCTTTCTGAAGAGGAAATAAAGCAGCGACTAGTGACTTTGGATTTGGCCGCTCACGTGGCTCATATTGCAGACATCTTGAAGCTATCCGTACCAACTCAGTTCCATCATCAGAAGAAAATTGACCTTCCAAGCAAGAATCAGTTAACATCTGAAGATTCCGGTCTTTAATCAAATCAAGGGCCTGAAAAAAACATATAAGAGTATTAGAAGAGGATGACCACCCGAAAATAAAAAAAGTTAAGAGTGCCTCATCAATGACTTAATTACAGCAACCAGATATCCTTTGTCATAAACAGTTATGCTTGATAAAATCGATCCTACTTTACAAAAATTTAGTTGTTGTAGCACCACTCATCATCTTCAACAATCAGGGAAACCAACCCCCACCCCAAATTGAATTTGATGCCTGGTTTAAACAATTTTTCCAAGCTTGAAATTCTCGTTTTTCCATTTTCTTACAGGTGCATAACTATAAAATTATATGATAACAATTAGTGTCTTAACATGATTTAGACTGTTCGGATAACTTTTAATTAGCAGTCTAAGCATCAGTGCTGAGATTGAACAAGATAGATTACTAAAAAATGGGAGAGGCAGGAATAGGAAAAGACGAACAAGAATAAGATGCCCATGGGGTTTCATGAATAGCTCTTCTAGGAACCTAATCGACGAAGACAACCATGAATATTACTCGAGTCTAGACATCAGAACTGCCAGCTTTGTTGTACAAATAGCTCCTGAATGTCCATTGCGTTCTGGAGAATAATACAGCCAGGATTTCTCTATCTCTTGAGTTATGTTAGGAAGTGTTGCACTTGCATCTGTGCTCAGAAAGCCCATATATTAACAATTTTTTTTGGTAAATATATATATTACTCCATCTGTTTCAATTTATGAGATGTACATTGACTCGGCATGAAGTTTAAAAAGAAAAAAAAGAAAAGACTTTTGAAACTTGTGGCCTTAAAAGCTTAAAGGGTAAAAGCTTATGTGGGGCTTTCCATTTGTGTGGCTATAGAAACTTCTCATTAAAGGTAAAACGGGTAAAAGGAAAAGTTTATAGTCAAATTGTTTCCAAATATAGAATGTCATTCTTTTGGAACGCCTAATAAGGAAAGTGTGTCATATAAATTGAAACGGAGGGAGTAACAATATTTCCCTGCCCAACCTTGCATCTTACTGTTATTTTTCCTAGGGTAAGATCATCTGTAAAACAATAAAACGAAAATCACAGCTTTTCGAATATAGTCATCATTAAATTTCAATAACAACAATATACCCAGTATTATCCCATACCGTGGGGTCTGGGGAGGGTAGTGTGTACGCAGACCTTACCCCTACCTTGTGAGGATAGAGAGGCTGTTTTCAATAGACCCTCGGCTCAATATCAATAACAATATCTTTAAACTCAAACCGGCTTGGATCGTAAAGATTTACTTGTTTATATAAAAGATGTGTCGGACACAAACTAGAACAAATGAAACACATTAATATGTCACGTGTTCTTGTCCCAAAAGAAAGTAAAACAATATCGTCTTCAAAATTGGCAGAAAAGAACATACATGGCTTGGAGGAATATGTTTTCCACTGAGAAGGTCAAGCAACAGTGTCCCAAAGCTGTACATGACGCTCTCCGGGGTGATTCTTCCTACAAACATTTCAGAATAACCGAGTGAACGATGACAAATTCAACAATTCTTGACCAGAAATATTGTTAAGATCGTGGAGATCAATGAAGAGGCACTAATCCAAGTAGAATACAGCTAAATGAATAAACCAATGACATAAGGTAAAAATTGCTTGTAAAGATCATCCCCCTTTAGCCTTCTAAGAACAAAGAAAGATAATCAAGCAATATGCTAGGTAAATGCTGCCCCCCAAAAAAAAAACCCTTCTTCCTCTCCCTTTTAGGATGGGAGGGGAAGTTTCAAATAACAAAAACCACTGTCATCAAGGAGAGACTATCACGAGTTCATCAGAAAAGAAGTCCGTCAACACACACATTAAATTTTAATATCGTATTTTATGAATCAGTCACCTACGTTTTGTATAACTAGAAGAAGGCCAAGTTTAACCAAAGTTCAAATCTCAATAGAGGCGACACTAGTTTAATTTTTCTCTCTGCGTAAGTCATTGTCGACGATTTTACCGATATGTATGCTGGTGGGAGATAGTAGGTATTCGTTAGATCAGATGCAATACCACAAGCTGGTCTCGACAACACCATTATATAAATAAACACACATGCATATAAGAGCATTCATCAATTGTACTTACTACCTAATGCCACCTTGACGTTAGAGGATGAGAAGTTACGTCGGTACCAAGCATTTTGATCATCCAGATTCATCCAATACCACTCAAAGTGGTATGTGTCTAAAATTGTTAGGTCTGAACAGCTTATTTCACTTGTATAATTGTAAACAAGCCGCACACATTTTAAGGAAAATTCGGGGAGAGAGAACAACTTTTGAAGAGTCAAGTGTTTACTGTCCTTACAGAAACTTTCTCTCCTCTTTGCACCTATCTATCAGCAGTACTCATGTTACTGCTTTACCAGATATACATGTTATTGAAATTTCATAAACAGATAAAACGAGAAGCAAAATGTCAAGCAACTAAGCTAGAAAATTAAATACTATTTGTCGATACACAGCAACTAAGAGAGGTCTTACCCGTCCTCAAATATTCAGGAGGAGTAAATGCCAAGTTCGTGCTGTAACTTTTTCCATCTCGACTGTTCTTCATCAAACCAAAGCAAGAGAGACGAGGATCACCTTCCTGAGAAATATCCAAAGGGTAGATCATTAGAGGCACTCAAATAATATATTTAACAATAAACAACGAAAGAATGATCATGGAACTATGTACTTACTTCATCAAATAATATTCTATAAGCATTAAGATCATGATAAAGTGCACGCCCTTTGCTTGTACAATACTCAAGAGCCTGTCCAAGATACAAAGCCACCCTTAACCGCATTGCCCATTTCATGGGTTGCGTTTCCCCTGGATATATAAATATGATAAGTCAACTTGAATTTCACCAATCACAAAGATATACATATCTTCCTTAAATCTTCACACAAGTCGTGATTCCCATTTTCCTTCATTAAAGCAGTAAAAATTCGAGTGTTCCCATCTCGTCCAATCTCATTTTCACCGAGTTTCTAGGTGAAGTTCAGATAAATTCATAATTAGGTTTATTTTGAAAATCTTTATATTTTCTGGACAAGTGATGGTGTAAAAAAATATAATTGCAAAAAAAAAAAAATATTATATCAATCAATCAACCAAGCTTAAATTCCAAATTAGTTTGGGTCAGGTATATGAATCATCTTTATCACTTGTCCCTTGAATTCCATATCAGTTACTCCTTCCGTCTCTTCTCAATAAAACCCTGGTTGCTCCTTTCATCATGTCGATTTAACACTTGACACACGTTAGAACTACTGTAGAAAATTAATCATGGTTGAGCCTTCCAACATCAAGTAACCTAACTATAATTTTCTTACGCATACATATAGCATGCAAGTAACGATGACACAAACCACAAATTACCCACCCCCCCCCCC